GAAATGTATCATTACATCACTTGCTGACCTATGCAGTGAATGTGTGCAGTAAGAATGAGGGTTCAAAAAGCTGATAAAAACATGAATTGAAGTCTTGTGAATTGAAAAGCTGTATGTCTATAATAAACAAATCCATCATTAAAGGGGTCATATGATGCGATTTCAAGTTTTCCTTTCTCTATGGAGTGTTACAAGCTGATTGTGCATAGATAAGATCCCTGAAGTTGCAAAGACTAAAGTCTCAAAACCAAAGAGATATTCTTTATCAAAGTTAAGACTCTGCCATGCCCCCCTAAAACAGCTCGTTCTAACACGCCCCCACATATCTACCTCACTATGTGGAAATATTAGCTTAATGCGGCCCAAATGTTCACGCAAAGAAAGAAGGCGTGTAGAGGGCCTACAATAATGTACAGTATTTGAAAAATAATGTGTTTTTTGAACATTAAAGCATGTCAACATATTCTGTTACACCAAATACACAAAATAATGATCTTTAAAAAAGCATCATATGACCCCTTTAAAATGCTTCTAATTTAAAACCACTTCTTCCTGCTAAAATATAAGTCCTCTATTCATAATATTGCTTTCTCTAGTGAAAAATCTGTATTGTCTGATTTAGGAGAGAAATGCGAACAGATTAAGCACAATATATAAGCAGAAACAGCCCAAAACAGTTCTAAAGAAATATATCAGTGGATTTTGATGTGAGTGGACAACAGAGAAAGGACTCTTCACTGGAAGAACTGTTATTATGGACTATAGACTTGTATTTTGGCCAGAAGTGACAACGCTTTGATTTGTTTCTTACAAACATGCCATTTTCACTTCAAAAGATGTTAACTGGATTACTTGTGCGTTATTGTGGTGTTTTTATCAGCTGTTAGGACTCTCATTCTCAGAATGTCTTTGTATTTTTCAAAATCCCAAAACTTTTCCAGGTTTAAATTACAGCAGATCCTCAATCCCAGATTTTCAATGTGGTCTCAGACTTCTGGAGCCCGCCGTACATCTTTCATTGCTCATGACTCATGAAACTGAGAAATGAAAGACTAACTTGATGAAGCCCTAATGCAACAGCAGCCACCGTGGCCTTCCTGTCAAAAGCCCATCGGGTTTCTTCGGAGGGTTGAGCTGAGGTTTTGGTGGAGCTCTTTGGAAATAGTAGCATATGGGGACCAGAATCCCTGTTGGTCTGCCTCCACGAGTGCGAGAGAGCAAACTGAGCTACCACCGCTGTCAGCGAGCCGGCCGCATTCAATCTCACTACGTTATATTTTATTTCAAGAACACTAAAATGTCAGCTATACAATCAAAATGGCAACAAATATCTGTTTGTTTGAATGCAAAAGTACTCCTTGTAGACAGTGCAATTGACCATATTTCCTATTGCACATTGGGGACCGCAGCTATTTTAATACACTTCTCTGTCTACGGATTAAAAAAACAAAATCTTGATGCGTAAATGGATCCAGAAGACCATTAACCTAGTCCGGGCTAAACCATAAACCTCGTCTGGCACATGTTGCCAAAACCGACCGTGCGGTCGGAAAGCCAGCCCTGCTACACTGGAGTGTGGCATCGCTATAGAGGAAGACATGGAAAGGCCAAACACCACCAAGAGTCACAATAAAGGTTTGCAGGCAACTGGAAAATAAGGCAACATGTGGAAAAAATGTGACAGAGAATGACAGAAGAGAGCAGAATGAACGCATGCAAATAGCTCACGCAGAAGCAGATGCCTGGACAACATCAAAAGCCACCAAAACCAAACCGTAGCCTTTGATTTATGAGGATATGAATTTCTAACAATATTAAAAGGCTACTTCAGACAAGGAAAAACACCTACTTAACAAATTGGCCTTAAATTTAAGCTTGAATTTAGTTTTAAATGTCATTCAAGACAGCTGTGATAAATTACATAAAAACACAATACAAATTTTAAATGCTACAGATATTATATTACAGATATTACAGGCATTTTAACAGATCCCTGCATGCCTATATTATCAAAAAAGGGATTTTTATTTTTTTAAGTTCTTAACTTGCGTGGTTGAAAATGAAATTAATAAAAATGATCAAAAATTGTTCCGATTTTACAATGGCACTAATTAGGGTCAGTATAGTTTTATAGTGGTCATATTTCTGCAGTTATGCCCCTAAAATCGTTTTCTCATGCTAGAATAAAGATTTATAGCTTACAAGTCCCAAAAGAATAGAGCTTTAGATAAAAGCTTCTGCGCACCAACTGAACCAAAACTCAATATGAAAACTATTCAAGGACCATTAGCTAAACCTTAAGACCACCCGCTGTAAACCCCTCAAGTCAGTGGTCAGAAGTGAAATCTGAAATAACAAAGGTGGACATGTGATTTAGTCAAAGAGCTGGTGCAGGTTTTTGGTCATCAAATAATCAATAACATATTTGACATGCAATGCACATAAAAATAAATGTTTTAAAAAGGTTTCTATATATTTGTATTGCATTTTAATGTGGTAAATTAAATGTTTTACTACTAATAACACTTTCTTAAAATATTAATAATTCTTAAATATTATTAAGTTTACCCAAAATGAAAATTTCACCACCCTCAGGCCATCTAAGATGTAGATGAGTTTGTTTCTTCATCTGAGCAAATTTTGAGAAATTTGGTTTTAAATCCCTTGATCCTCTGCAGTGAATGGCTGCCGTCAGAATAAGAGTCCAAACATCGTATAAAAGCATCACAATAACCCACAAGCAACTGCTTTGTAATGAACAAATCCATCAATAAGAGGTTTTTAACTTCAAACTGTTGCTTCCATAATATTCCTTTCCCCAATGAAAGAGTCATCTAGTCTGAATTATGAGTGAAATATGCACAGATCAAGCATTGTTTACAAGCAATACTAAACAAATATGTTGGTGGAGACTGATGTGAGAGGACAACAGGAGATGAACTTTTTCACTGGAGAAAGCATTATTATGGATCATAGACTTTGGATTATGGATTCTGACAGCACCCATTCACTGCAGAGCATCTGTTGGTGAGCAAGTGATGCAATTCTAAATGTCTCTAAATCTGATCCAATGAAGAAACAAACTCATCTACATCCTGGATAGATAAGGGTGAGTTTTGGGTGAACAATTCCTTAACATAAAGGAAAAATAAAAAATAATATTATCCTTAGGTTATTGTAAATATTAGGTTATCTTAAATATCCCCAAAATCATCTCAAAACTTTCATTACTGTTGTCTGTCATCATACACTCCGTCTAAGTTTTAAAATAGAGAACTTTTTGAATGCTGGTTGCAACAACTAAAATAAAGCACGACCAGATAAGTCTGATTCATTAATAAATGACACTTTTGAGTCAGATATTTATAATGAAATGGTCTAAAGACTCACAAATCATTCACAACAGAATCAGAACCATTAAATTCCTTACAATTCCCATTGCTACTTCGTTCACATCTCAGATTCTTTTCTCAGTAATATTCTCTGGTTGTAAAAGTATAGAGGCTAAACTACTAACTATTAAAAAAAAAGAAAGGCCATTATGTCTAGGTCTTTTATGAATTATAACCATACGATATCCAAAAGAAGTCATCTCGGACAGCGATGGAACAGAAAACTAGACAAATAATTTCCTCTGACTTCAAAAAGAACAAATTGGGCACAGGAGACCTCTGACAAAAATGACATTTCCGACTCGGAGCAGGAACCCAGGACAATGGAAAACATAACACGACAGCCACAAGCACCTAATCACTTTATTTAAGGGTCCAAGTGAAGTCTGGAAGGATGTAATTTAAAAAACGTCCTGCCATCGTATCAGCATTAAATCTCAAATGGATGGAATTGGTGTAGCATATGGTAAGCATACTTCAGAAGCAAAAGGCAGTAGCTTGTTTTTACCTTTTCACTCGGAAGAAACTGAAGTCAATGCCCTGGCCTCTGACACAGTGTAGATGTTTGCTTGTGTAATAGAAGAGGACATGGGGCAAATTATTGAGCAATGCACATTTGAGACAACGAAACAGCCTGTAAAATTGTATTTTGGTAAACCAAAACTAGGATTACGCTTTTTTTCTCCTCCAGCATACTGCAGAGCTGCTTCCAAGGACAAGATCCAATGTCTCAAGACAGAAAACTGTTGAGAAGCAGATTTACAGTCTATGGTAACAAAGTATGTTTACTGGCAATGCTGTTCTGCGACGGCTGCTATTGAAGAAAGAAGAAAAACAGCACAGCACTCAAAGATTACAGCTGTGGCAATGTTATCCTCTGTTTGGACACATGTCTCACGGCTCTCTGCCTGAACTCTCATGCTACGCAAACATAAGTGTCTTTTGCAATCGCCTACTTCTTGACAGATTGATATTTCAAATGCACAGCCAGATGAAGCGTTTCACCTAAGATGCATTTTCCACATCTGGATAGCCGATAGATTATACTGTATATAAATGTGTTTACTGAAATATGGAAAATAAAAATCCTGAGGTAAATCAAAAACAGTCATAGGTTACTTGCATTTCCAAGTTATGAACTCGCAAATGTAGCAAGACATATGATCTTTGAGGGTCAAAACAACATTATCACGGAACTAAACCAGCCGTTAACTTAAAACTAACTAAAAGCTATTTTATGCATGACAATGAAAAATGTTAAAAGTTAATTTTTGAGTTCTGGACACAAATGTGGGCTAGAAGCAAGTTTCGAGGGATGGCAAGAATATCAGTGAATTATGGCCTAAATTTTGGTCTGTTTTTCACAGTTTTTTGTCTTTATATCACTATTAACCATATGGAAAGCTTTTTATTAGTTGTAAGAATGCTATTAGTACTAGATTAAAGCATCAAATAAATTTGAAAAATAATCATTAAAATTCACAAGAAGAAAGTAGCACATCCTGTAAAAATGGGAATGTTATGATGTTCCATTTTTACATTCAGCAAACTCCTTTAAAGCAGTTGGATGGATATAATAGCAGTGAATTTGGCAGGACATTCACATACCGTGGGCAAACCGATGGAACCAGTAGTATCCCATGTCCACACCAAGAAACGCAAGCCACCACGTCCAAGCTGAATCCCAGGGAAGCTCCAATAAACGGAAGTTGTTCCAGACATAAATATAAGCTGACAGTTCCAAACTTCTCATCACAAGCCTTGAGAAAGACACCAAACGAGCTGAATTAAGTTACATCAGTAGAGCCCATCAGCAGATAAACAAGTCTATTTGATGGAAACTGCATGAGTAAAACATGAAATAACTTTAGATTTGTTCTCAGTTTCTTTCTGTACTCAAAACACTGCATAATCTCCTTGTAACGTCAAGTGTCATCTGATATAGAGCATGACTATCGACAAAATCAGGTTTTGAAATCCAAGACTTTCTTATATTTCGTAACTATAGACATTTGAAGGACCTGCGAGGTGAATCTCACACAACTCACTGAGGCAGACGGGACATCATGCCTGCAGACAAAGACGTGATGAAGTCGTTTATCTTGATGCGAGGGCCATCTGTCTTTAACCATCCCAACACGATCTCCAATAATATCAAACCAGAGAAATATGGTGTGGCCTACAACACAGAAAAATCATAAATCCTGCTATGAATGAAAATAAGAATAACAGTTTCTATAACTTTAAATATTGTTAATACTCTTCCCTAACCTAGTAGTACATCTGATGAAAACTTTTAAATGCTGCATCTTAACATAAAAGATTGAGTCAAGTTCTGCAAATGTTACACATGACTTTTTGTAACAGCCCTAAAAGTGCATGTCAAACTAGGCATAAAAATGCAACACACTAGGCGTCTGTTAGCAAATAATGTCCTTCCTTTGCATAAGTATGTGGAGTTGTTCTGTAACAAAGTCATGGGTTCAATTCCCTAGAATGCATGAACTATTAACATATAAGGAGGCATTGATACGACCCAGAATTTTTAAGATGATAATTATTTTCATGTTGAATATCCAATATTAAAATTTTATATTGCCTACATGTATTAAAAACATTCCTGCAGCTGTACAGCATGGTGCTAGCAACACCAAGGTCATGGGTTCGATTCAGGGATAAGTGATCAAATGTACACTTAAGGCACGTAACTTTATAAACACAATACAAAAATCTATCTGTTTTATAATTAATTATTTCTATACATATAATATTTAATTTATTAATTTTATATAATTAATTTTATATATTATATATAAATTATTTAGAATTTCAAAAATATTTATAACTAAGAATAATTCAATACTAAAACTGAACACATTAAAAAACTAAAACCAATCATACTACAAATGAATATGGCCAATAAGGTACAAATATACTGTACTGTGCATCCCTAATAATGTATACTAATGCAAGCTGGATAAAAGTGTCTGCCAAATGCATACATTTCAATGCAAAGTATGTGCTGGATTTGAGCGTATTGGATTGGAAGGTTCCACTCGAGTTGGACTCTTTAAACTTCTGTAATTACCAATTTTATAATTTACCAGCAAGCTTTATCTTTAAAGATTTGGACGTAAAGGACGTTTTTCAGGATTTCTTAAACTTGGATTACCCATTAAAACCTGGGGCAAATCACAAAAGACCAATTAAAAACTTAACAGATGTGGTGCAGGCAGTACTCTGGGTCACTCTTTGCAGTGTGAAACCCGAGACTCACTTTCTCACATGCAAACACACGCACGCTAAACTGAGAGAGTGTGGGGGGACACGACAGTATAGAGTAGATCTACAGGTGGAACGGGACATGTGCTTATATATGTGTGTGTGTACAAGTGAACTGAGGCAAACCTGGACACATCTGGCTGCCGACTGCAGCAAAGCTCTGGCTGCTAGTGCTATGAAACCTACTATCTATACGAAATTCAACCTAATTATATATTTAACTTCAGTGAGCTATGCTGTTTGCAACAAGTAAACTATAGGAATATGTGCACTTCAATTTCAAAGTTTTGAGAAACTTATTTAAAAAAATTTTCAGCATGTTTTTTTAAAGAAACAAAATGAAAACAGCTATTAGCCCTGCAGTAACATATTTCAAGCTTGCAAAAATTGTTGAGGGGGCGCTTAATAGTTGTATATAAAGCTGTGATTGTGGACTCAGATCTCACCAGGAAAAAAAGAAAGACATTTGTGAAGCAGATGTTAGTATTTTAGGTTTTTCCTTCAGCTTTCTTGATCAGATTCTGGACGGTTCATGTAACTTTATACACACAAAAATGCAAATACATTCAAACTGTTTTTTTATGAAATGTACTGTCAATTCAACGTTCTTTATCTAAATTTCGAATACACACTTTTTAGTGAGATTTTATTGTTTCAACTTCGCTTTTATCGCCTATCAGTGATATGTGGACAGTCTAAACAACAGTTTTTAATTATACTCCAAATTCAAACTTATGAGAGAAAAAAATCTAAAACGTAGAGCACAAATTCATGTATTGACCAAGACAAGAAAACACAAGAGAATTTCTATTGTCTCACCCACACACATCAAGAGACTGAAACTTCAAATAAAGTTCTGCAGGAATGGTGAGCGAGGCAATTTAACAAGTGTGTGTTTGTGACAGAATTACAACAATTAGGATTCCTGCTGTGTGGTTAATTGCAATTTCTCTATTCATGTGTTTATGGAGGCCTGTAAAAATGTGAGTGTTTTACCTCAAATAACAAACATGTGTTGATCTGAGTACAGCCAAACCAAAAAACACACATATGGGTCTGTTAAAATGTAAGGAGCGAGCTCCCCGCCGTAGGGCTTAAAAACCTGAACAGGTGGCAGACTTATTTTCCCATTGTTGCAGGCATGGTGCTCACTGTTTTGCACATTAATGAAAATTAAGAAACCGCACAATTAAAGGCACAATATGCAATTACGGCATCGTTTAAACCTGTGGTATCAGACGTGTTGTTAGAAAACATGACACCATTAAAGTCAAAAAGATCATCATGTCAAAGTATTTGACAGCGTTTGATAGTGCAGTAGTAATAATACTGACGAAACCCTGAAGAAATCATGATTACAGATGTTTTGTTTACAATAATATACTGACCATATTATGAAACCTGCTTAACAACATGCTTTATACTGTATATACATATGTATTTATATTTGTGTGTGTGTGTGTTTATGTGGTTTATGAGGACACAAATTTGTATAATAACATGGAGAAGGTGATTTATGAGGACATTTTCAGTGTCCCCGTAATTCAAAAGGCTTATAAATAATTCAGAATGAGTTTTTTTGAAAATCTAAAAATGCAGAAAGTTTCCTGTGAGGGGTAGGTTTGGTGTAGGGCAATAGAATATACGGTTTGTACAGTATAAAAACCATTACGCCTATGGAGAGTCCCCATAAACCATAAAAACAAACCTCTGTGTGTGTGTGTGTGTGTGTGTGTGTGTGAGACCCTGGACCACAAAACAAGTCATAAGTAGCACGGATATATTTGTAGCAATAGCCAACAATACATTGTATGGGTCAAAATTATAGTTTTTTCTTTAAAGGGTTAGTTCAGCCCAAAATGAAAATTCTGTCATTAATTAATCACCCTCATGTCGTTCCAAATCCATAAGACCTTCATTCATTTTTGGAACACAAATTAATATATTTTTGATGGAATCTGAGAGCTCTCTGACCCTCCATAGACAGCAATGCAACTGAAATGTTCCCAGACAGAAACGTAGCAAGGACATCGGTAAAACAGTCCATGTGATATCAGTGGCTCAACTTCAATTTTGCGAAGCTACGAGAATACTTTTCGTGCACAAAGAAAACAAAAATAACAATTTATTTAATAATTCTTCTCCCTCAAGTTCCGTCTTCCGCCATTTTGGAGAGTACCCAAGAACGTAATCAGCGTTGTTTACATTCAAGGGGGAAAGCATGCGCATGAAAGTAATCAGCGTAATCAGCGTTAGGGTAAAGCGTGCGTATGCGTTGTGATACTCTTCAAAATGGTGGAAGACAGTAACTCGGGGGAGAAGAATTGTTGAATAAAGTTGTTATTATTGTTTTCTTTGTGCACAAAAAGTATTCTCGTAGCTTTGTAAAATTGAAGTTGAGCCACTGATGGTGACTGTTCTGGACCTGGGAACATTTCAGTTGCATTGCTGTCTATGGAGGGTCAGAGAGCTCTCAGATTCCATCAAAAATATCTTAATTTGTGTTCCAAAGATGAACAAAGGTCTTATGGGTTTGGAACGACATGAGGGTGAGTAATTAATCACAGAATTTTCATTTTGGGGTGAACTAACCCTTTAATGGCAAAAATCATTAGTATATTAAGTAAAGATCATGTTCCATGAACATATTTAGTAAATTTCCTACTGTAAATATATCAAAACTTAATTTTTGATTAGTAATAAGCATTGCTAAGAACTTCATTTGGACAACTTCGAAGGCGATTTTCTCGATATTTTTATTTTTTTGCACCCTCAGATTCTAGATTTTCAAATAGTTGTATCTCAGTCTAATATTGTCCTACCCTAACAAACCATACATCAATGGAAAGCTTATTTATTCAGCTTTCAGATGATGTATAAATCTCAATTTCAAAAAATCGACCCGTATGACTGGTTGTTTTGTGGTCCAGGGTCCATAAATACACACACACACACACATTATCAATATAATCACTCTTTCTGCAAAAAAAAAAAAATGTAGTCCTATAGGTGGACTTGTGTAATCTTAGTAGACAGATATACAGACAGACAGACAGACAGACAGAGAGATAGATAGACAGATAGATAGACAGACAGACAGACAGACAGACAGACAGAGATAGACAGACAGACATAGATAGACAGACAGACAGACAGACAGACAGACAGACAGACAGACAGATAGATAGATAGATAGATAGATAGATAGATAGATAGATAGATAGATAGACAGACAGAGAGACAGATAGATAGACAGACAGACAGACAGACAGAGATAGACAGACAAACAGATAGACAGATAGATAGACAGACAGACAGACAGACAGACAGACACAGACAGACAGACAGACAGATAGATAGATAGACAGACAG